AGTGCAAATCATTCCTACAAGAAATGTTAATCTTCCCTATTAGCATTCTTTACAAAGCCTCTTTTAGAGTCAGAATAATGGAATATTTGATTTGCTGTATCTGCAAATAGATAGCAAATATTTGAAAAGGAGGAGCCACCACTACTTTTTCTTAAGTAGTGAAATGGAAGAGTGAAGGATACTATGTTTGTTGTGGCCATACAGTACAGGAAGACCACAGAAGATGGGGAACAGTAAAACATTTGCCCAATGACATTGAAAGCTGTGTAAAAGCAGCATGGTATTCACGCTCTGATACCTGTATCTTCTAGTGGAGCCCTGTGCTGGATCCTAGGGCAAAGATGACCTGTCTAGGAGGCTGAGGCATGTGTACAGTGTGATCCAAATCAGAAAGAGCTAGAGAGTATTCAAAAAGGATTATCTGATGTATGCTGGAAATGCTGAGGATAGATCCTTGGGCAGATGAAGCTGGCCCTTCCTAAAGGAAGCCGCATATCTGAGAATAAATACAAAAATTAAGTCCTCCCAACCTCCTGGAGTGGGGCCTTCTCCATTAGCATCATAGAGAACAAAGGCAGTGAACTTCAAGCTGCTGCCTTCAAGAAGAAACAAATGAGACAGAAACCTGAGAGTAGAATATTGGTGGAGACTAAAACATATTTTTTAAGTTTGTTAAAAAAAAAAAAGAAGAAGAAGAAGCCCTTCAAGGAACAGTGATAAATCTAAGGATCTTGAAATATTCCTCAAAACAAGAAGTAAATAATGAGGGCCCTGGCTGGTGTGGCTCAGAGGACTGAGCGCCAGACTGCAAACCAAAGGGTCGCCAGTTTGATTCCCAGTCAGGGCACTTTCCTGGGTTGCAGGCCAGGTCAGGTCTCCAGTAGGAGGCGCTCAGGAGGCAACCACACCTCCATGTTTCTCTCCTTTTTCTCCCTCACTTTTCCTCTAAAATAAAATAGAATCTTTAAAAAAAATAAATAATGAGAAAGTGTACAAGTTTCTTTCACAGTGTGCAAGCCTTCCACGTTTAGAAATCAGTGAGGAGGATAAAACAAGTCTTATAAGCAAAAAGTACTGATGAAGACAAGTGAGAGAAACAGGAATGTTGAGTGGAAGTTCATAGACACCAGTCCTATCCTCATTGTCCAGTTGAGGCGACTAAAGTTCAGAGAGGGAATTGGATTTTAGACACAAATAGGACTTATTTCACCGAGCAGGGCACAGCACTGCAGCCCTTACTTACTTCACAAAACAGAGGAACTTACTCCAGAAAAATCTTCATCTCACCATGATACTTCATCAAGGGGTTGTCTACTCTGCTGGAGTACAATGTAACCAAGTCACTCTTCAGTCCCTCATTTGCTAAGCTAGCCTTTTTTTTTTTTTTTGATGTGTCATTTTTCTTTTTCTTAATTTAATCTTTATTGTGTTTTTTTTTTAAATTTTATTTCTTTATCTTTAGAGGGGAAGGGAAGGAGAGAGGGAGAGAAATATCAATGTATGGTGGCCTCTCATGTGTCCCCTGCTGGGAACTGGCCTGCAACCCAGGCATGTGCCCTGACTTGGTATCGAACTGCGATCCGTTGGTTCATAGGCCTACGCTCAATTAGCCTTTAAAAAAAAAATAAAGTAGTTCACTTCAGGCATTATTATTATCACATCATTATTATTGAGACATTATATTATACTCAAACATTGAGATATTTGTATACCATAAATTTTACTCTTTTGAGGTATATAATTCTTTTTTTTAGTATATTCATTAGGTTGCACAACTATCACCACTGTCTAATTCCAGATCATTTTCATCTCCTTGTAAAGAGACCTCATATGCATTAGCAGATACTCCCAATTGCCCCTTCCCCAAACCCCAAGCAACCAACCACTAATCTCTGTTTTCATGGATTTTCCTATTCTAGACATTTCATGTAAATGGAATCACAAAATGTGTGGTGATATGCGTCTGGCTTCCTTCACTTAACAATGTTTTTATGGTTCATGTTAGTGGCATGTATCAGTGCTTCATTCCTTTTTATAGCTGAGTGATATTCTCTCATGGTTATACCACATTTTGTCAGTTGGGTTGTTTCCAGCTTTTAGCTATTGTCAGTGGAAGTACTGTGAACATTCATGTACAAGTTTTTGTGGGGACAAATGCTTTCATTTCTCTTAGGTACATACCTAGGACTGCAATTGCTGGATAATATGGTAACTCTATGTTTAATTTTCTGAAGAATTGCCAGACTCTTTTCTAAGAGTCTACTCTTACATTCCCATCAACAGTGTATGAGGGATCCAATTGTGCCATATCCTCACTAACACTTGCTATTACTTTTTTTTCCATAGTATTTTTTTAAGCAGAAAATTATTTTATTTTATTGATTATGCAATTACAGTTGTTGTATACCCCCTTCATTCCCCTCCACCCTGTACACCCCCTCCCCCCACCAGTCCCCCCTTTAGTTTATGACCACGTGTCTCAAGTTCTTTAGATTCTATATTTCCCCTACTATTCTTGCCCTCCCCCCATCTATTTTCTACCTACCGTCTATGCTACTTATTCTCTGTACCTTCTCCCCCCTTCTCCTTCTCCCACTCCCCTGCTGCTAACCCTCCATGTGATCTTCATTTCTATGGTATGCTCCTGATCTAGCTGTCCTCTTAGTTTACTTTTGTTTTAGGTGTGGTTCTTAATAACTGTGAGTTTGCTTTTCTTTCACTGTTCATCTTTTTTATCTTCTTTTTCTTAGGTAAGTCCCTTTAACATTTCATATAATAAGCGTTGGTGATGATGAACTCTTTGAACTTTCTGAGAAGCACTTTATCTGCCTTTCCATTCTAAATGAAAGCTCTACTAGATAGAGCAATCTTGGTTGTAGGTCTTTGGATTTCATGACTTGGAAAACCTCTTTCCAGCTCCTTCTTGCCTGTGTGGTCTCTTTTGAGAAATCAGCTGACAGTCTGATGGGAACTCCTTTGTAGGTGACTGGTCCCTTATCTCTTGCTGCTTCTAGGATTCTCTCCTTCATTTGAATCTTGGCTAATGTAATTATGATGTGCCTTGGTGTGTTCCTCCTTGGCTCCAACTTCTTTGGGACTCTCTGAGCTTCCTGGATTTCCTGGAAGTCTATTTCCTTTGCCAGAATGGGGAAGTTCTCCTTAATTAATTGTTCAAATAAATTTTCCACTGGTGGCTGTTCCTCTTCCCCTTCTGGTACCCCTGTAATTTGGATGTTGGAGCATTTAAAGATGTCCTGGAGGTTCCTAAGACTCTCCTCATTTGTTTGAATTCTTGTTTCTTCCTTTTTTTCTGGTCGGTCACTTTTTCCTTTTTTCTGGTCCACTCCCTTGATTTGAGTCCCAGTTTCTTTTCCATTACTATTGGTTTCCTGTGTGTTTCCCTTCATTTCAATTAGTTTAGCCTTCATTTTTTCCTCTAATTTGTGGCTAAAATCAACCAGTTCTCTGAGCATCCTGATCACCAGTGTTTTGAACTGTGCATCTGAGAGTCTGGCTATTTCTTTATCGCTTAGAGTTATTGGCTCTGGGCCTTTGAGCTGTTCTTCTTGAGCCATAATATTTTGCTCTGTTCTCACCTTTTACCCATGAGGAGCAGAGCCTTAGATGTTCACCAGGGTGGGGAGACCCAGTCATTGGGTTGTGATGCTGTATGTGGGGGCGGGGTCAGAGAGGGATAATGGCGGTCCCCTCTGCGGCTTCCTGCTGCTGGGGCCTGCACGGTCTGTCTCAGTCTCACTGCTCGCTCCTTCTCCAGTTATCTGCACATGAATGTATGACCGCGGTCAGCCCTCAGTGGGTCGCCTGCTGCTACTCCACACTTGGGATCTGCCCACTGCCTGCCCACCCGGGTCGCACTCTGGTCGGTCTGGTGGATCTTTCCTGCCCCACCTCGCTCTGCTGCTGGCTCTGCCCCTCTTACTGGTTTGGCTGAAGGGTTCGTTGTTGTCAGACTTCCGTATAGTTCAATTTTCTGTGGTTTGGCTGCGTTTTGTTGCTTAAACTTGGTTGTGAGAGAAGGCAGAGTGTTTCCATCTATGCCTCCATCTTGGCGGAAGTCCTACTTTTTTTTTTTATTATAGTCATTCTAATAGGTGTAAAATGATACCTCATTGTGGTTCTGATTATCATTTTCCTAATGACTAATAATGTTAGGCACCTTTTCATGTGCTTCTTGGCCATTTGTATATCTTTGGAAAAATATCTATTCAAATTCTTTGCTCATTTTCCAATTGGGTTGTCTTTTTATTATTGAGTTGTAACAGACCTTTATATATTGAGGCTACTAGACCCTTATCAGATACATGTATGCAAATGTTTATCTTCCATTCTGTGAATTTCAATTTTTGAAGTGTCCTTTGAAGCACTGCTAAACTATTTTTAATAAATATTAAAACATCTTAAACTAAATTAGGAATATGTAATTGGGGTCTAAATTATACATTTAAATTTAATAAGCATTATAATTTTACAAGCAAACCATTGTTTGCAGACCACACTTGGAGGCTTCCAAATTAAGGGTCTCACGTTCATGATTATAGGTAGCTATTGCTTCTATAGCATTTATATGACAGGCACTGTTGAGGCACTCTGCATGTTTTAACTTATCTAAGTCTCACAACAATTCTATGATATAGAGAATTACCATCATACACATTGTACCAAACAGAGGCAGAGGAAGGTTAAGCAATTTGCCCGAAGCCAAGGAATAAGTAGCAGATGTGGGCCCCAGATTCCACTGCTCTCAACCACCTGCAAAACTGCCAAGGTGGAATTAAGCCATGCCTAAACCCTCGCTTTGGCTTCAAAATAATAGTGCTTCCGTGGCGTTTACCACTCTAGGTATTTTCCCTCTCAGTACCAAGTCAGGTGTCTTCATTACTTCCTCGTCTCACAGTCTGGCTTCAGGACCCTCTCATTTCGCCAACTGTCAAGAGGCTTTAGTGTGTGGAAATAATTGCGAAATCGCCTGCGTCCCCCAGGTGGAGTAGTGCTAAATTTCTGGCGGCTAATGGACTTCAAGGAGCAGCGGATTCAGCCCAATGAGGCTCAAGCTGAGCCATGGGTGGAGCCAGCAGAGGGGGCGGAACAGAGTTCCTGCGGGGTGCCCACTGTGTGCGGAGCCGGCTGCCCTCAGCGGAGCCATGAGTTGGACCTGCCCACGTTGCCAGCAACCTGTTTTCTTTGGTGAGGCCTGGGCTGAGGAGGGGGAGAAGACTGGGCGAGTGTGAGCCGCTGGGTTCCCTGAGCACATGAGCTGGTGAAGGGTGTGATCCCAGACCCCTTTCCATCTATGGGGCATGGCACTCTGGGGGGAAGGAGCTGGCCTCCTGGAGACACTCCCCACTAACTCTGGGGAGCAGGATGGGGCAGAAGGGGAAAGGAGGGAGCCCGCTGCTTGGCTTGGCTGCCCTGAAGTCCCAGTTCCACCTTGTTCCCCACAGCAGAGAAGGTGAGCTCCCTGGGTAAGAACTGGCACCGCTTCTGCCTGAAATGTGAGCACTGCCACAGTGTCCTGTCCCCAGGAGGGCATGCAGAGGTGAGACCTATGTCTGTCACTGTCTCCCAGGCACCAGTCCCATTGCCGACCTGGAGGCTCACCAAAGGCAATCTCAGTAGCCAGCTCCCAAGACCACCACTACTTAGAGGGTGGGCCCCACACCCTCCGGGATTTGGGGACCATGAGTTTTGCTGGTGGACTCCATGCCATTTGAGGGGAAGGAGAGGGCAGTAACACTGCTTCCTGCCCTGCTCTTGCTCTTTTCCCGTGACCACAGTGGCAGTTCTGGCATGTTAACCCATCCAGACCCCTCCCATTCCCACCAGCCCAGGCCAGGGGACTGAGACACCTGGCAGCTTTTTGGGGGGAAAGGCCTGTGGAGCATGGGAGAAGGCCCCTTGGCCCTGAGCAACCCCCTTTCCTCTGCTTGTGCCTAGCACAACGGGAGGCCGTATTGCCACAAGCCATGCTATGGGGTTCTCTTTGGACCCAGGGGTAAGTACCAGCCAGGAAGGAGGCAGAGGGCAGCAGAAACCCTCCCTGTGGCAAGGGAGCTGGAGACTCAAGCCTGACCTCCCTTCTCCTCTCTGCAGGGGTGAACATTGGTGGTGTGGGCTCCTATCTCTACAACTCCCCCACTCCCACCCCTGCCAACACCATTCCTCTCAACCCCAGCAGCTTCAGTCCTCCAAGGCCCAGGACTGGCCTCCCCAAGGGCAAGAAAAGTAAGTGAAGCTGGACCCCAGCTACCCCTCCTCCTGAGCTTTTCCAGACTGGAACAGGGTGGGGCCAGGTGGTCCACATAGTCCTTGCCTCATTCCTACAACTTTGTTCATGGATGGCAAAATCTTGCATTATCTGCAACCCCTATTTTCATGTTCCCTCATGTCAGCTACTGAGTTCAGAGGTAAAGTGAGCAGATGGCATTACCACCCCCATTTTACAGGTGAGGAAACTGAGGTTCAGAGAAGGCAGGTAACCTTGTGTAGTCACAGCTAGTCAGAGGCAAAGCTGGCCTGAAACTCAGGCGTCTCCCAAGCCAACACCATGGAAGAAGAGACTTATGAGTGAGAAGTTATTGAGACAGGGCCAGCCCCTCACATTTTTCTACTTCTCCCCTCTCCCTGTTCCTTTCTCCTGTCCCCTGCAATGGGCAGTGACACTGTGCTCCCCAACACCTGACACCCCTGCCCTGGCCAGCTCCTATATCAGTTCAGGTTTCCTGAGGATTGAGTTGCTGACAGGGTTGGGCTGGTGGGCATCTGGGCCCCTGGAAGGATGAGAAGAAAGCAGGTGGTCCCTCTTGCAGATAGGGTGGGACAGGAGGTGGGGTCAGAGGGGACTCAGCTCTGTCTGAGGAAGGCATACTTATGGCCACCTGGGTGGGAGGCTTGGGGATGAGCATGGCTTTCGGAAGAGGACAGTGTTACATGCAGGCTGGTGCTAGAGGGCCCTACTTAGGCCTGGCACCCACTCAGCCCTAGCCAGGGCCTCTTCTCCTTGAAGGCACTTTGCACATGAAGACATTCACTGGGGAGACCTCACTGTGCCCTGGCTGTGAAGAACCTGTCTACTTCGGTAAGTGACAAGGGAAAGCGTGGAGAGGAGAGAAAGTGCAAGATGGGCATCAAAGGGCAGGGAGGTGGTGCAAGGCAGGAGGGTCTCCCTGCCCTGCCTTGCCCCTAAGGCTACTACCTCTCTCTACCACCAGCTGAGAAGGTGATGTCTTTGGGCAGAAATTGGCACCGACCCTGTCTGAGGTGCCAGCGCTGCCGGAAGACCCTGACTGCTGGGAGTCATGCTGAGGTGAGCAAGGAGGGGATGGGTTGTTATGTTGGGAGGAGAGAGGCTGGAGATAGAAAAAGAGCCACGCTGAGAGGGCTCTCTTTCTCTTTGTGTCCCAGCATGATGGCGTCCCCTACTGCCACATCCCCTGCTACGGCTACCTGTTTGGCCCCAGAGGTGGGCAGTTCCACCCTAGATGCTGGGCCCAAAGTATGGCATGTGGGTCTGTGGTTATGTGTGGACAACTTCCCCTGTAGTCGGACATATCCCAGATCCTTCCTAGTTCCCACTAGCCCTCAGCCCAGTCCCCTCTGTCCCAAGGCCCTTGGTAATGGGGCTCTCTCCCTCAGGTGTGAACATTGGTGATGTGGGCTGCTACATCTATGATCCGGTGGAGATAAAATCCAAATAAGATGCTCACAGGAGAGGTCACCCGAACTTGGGCCTCTGGCCATCCCCTCCATGATTCAATGGGAGCTACAGAATTCTTCAGTCCCATGGAGGTAGGGGAAGGTGGGGTTCTGGCAGCCTGGGCCTCAGCTCCATGGTAGACTGAAAAGTCTAGACTTTCCCTGCCAAGTCATCCCTTTCCCATTCCTATCTGCTCAGGGGAATTGAGACACCTCATTTTGAAGGGTAGCTTCCTGACCTTCCCAATTCCTTTCTCCAGCAAATTATATAACTTCAAGATACTGATAAAACCTGTGTTTGTCCTGGCTTCTCCAATAAAATGTTGACTCCCATGCCTTCAACTCTTCTTTGGGCACAGACAGTAGGTTGTAGGGTGGAGAGTGTGGGGGTGGGGGATGCATTACCCTGCAAATTGCTAGTCATGGAGCAAAGAGCTCTGTTCTCCAGGTCCCTGGCCCTGACATTGGGCAGCCCCCAGCACCACACAGTGGACAGCATGCCTACAGCCATGTTGGTACCAGAGGTCATCATAGGACAGTCCCTTCTTTAGCACCACTCTAGAAGAACCTTATTCAGCAACTCATTGAGCATGGCAACAGAGAGATCTTGTGGTGAGGTCTGTTCAGAAGCTTCATTGTCCATTTGATAGATGAACAGACTAAGGTCCAAAAAGGGAAAGCCATGTCCCCAAGGTCACACAGCGAATCAGTGGCAAAGCTGAGATCAGAAGCCAGCACCAGACTCAATGGCTTCCCATCCAGGGCTTGTTCCACAGCTCCAAACTGATGCCCCAACCCAGAGACACAGAATCCCACCAGTTACGAGGGGTGCCAGAATTCAGCAGCCCACTGCATTCTGGGAAGTTACTCTATTGCTAGAAGTTGGATGGGCACAGAGAAGGGCATAGAGAGCAAATTCAGCCTTGAGCAGGGAGCTCTATGCCCCCAGCCCCTGGTCATAGGGCTTTCCCTTTTGCTCTTCCAGCCCCTGATGCAGAACTTCTGTGGAAGGATGCTCCTTAAACCACTCAGTTGTGGACCTGCTTCATGGGCATCTGTTCCTCCTGAAGGCTGGATGGGGCACTAGGGAGGAAGGAGTCATGAGCAATGGTGGGGTTTAGCCGCCAAGCCTGCCACCCTAGCCTGCCCTGTCAGTGCTGGCCTAGGGCTTCCCCAGTCCTGTTATATAAACTACTCCCACAAGTGACTCCCACACACTCGTGTACATATCCCTGATGTGTAGGCATACCTGAGTGTGCAAACATCCACCTCTCCCTGGACAGTCTTGGGTATTCATGTATATGCACATGTGGACTCATGTTTGCTTTTACACACGCAGTTGACATACTTCAGGTCACACACACTTGCATACATGTACCAGATACACACATGCAGACATGTCTCCCTCTGAATCCCACCTAAGGTGTCAGGTACCTGAGCACCCATATCCACATGCATGTGCACATACCTCTTCCTCTCCACGTCTTGGATGGTCTGTGGCAGCTGGGCCTGCCTTGTCTCTGGCAGCAGGAGGGCAGTGCAGGCAGCCAGCAGGGCAATCCCCCCATAAGTGATCTTGGGCAGTGACAGCCATACTCCATCCAGCAAGGCTACCAGTGGGGCCAAAGAGCCCCCCAGACGGCCCACCAGTGCAGTCAGCCCCAACCCTGTCTGTCTGTTCAGAGAAAGGATGGGGGATTGGTGCTCATGGATGCTTGGGGTAATTGCTTCACAGGTCTCCCTGCCCAGGGCTGGCAAGGGGTACCCCTCTGGTACCCCCTTTCCCCCCAAGACAGCTAAGGAAGCTGGGGCTTCTTTCAGGTGGTATTTTCACCAAACCCCTGGCCAGGAGCACCTAAGCAAACACCCACCAGAGGATGAGGCCCCATTCTGACAGAGAACCAGTCAGGTATCACTGAAGGAAAAGAAACATCACCAGAAAGCATATGGGGACAGGGTTAGCAGCTCATACACACTGCCATGTTGTTAGAGAAGGTGCAAGGTTTTCTAATCATACCCAGCTACCTACAACTCTCCTCTTCACCTGCCAATAGCTAGTTGAAAGGGCCCCAGGCTTATGTTTGGAGACAACTCCCAAGGGCAGCACTACCCAGGCTGTGGGGATAGGATGGGATGGGCAGATAGGACTTTTTGCCACTATTTCCTTTTTTTAAAAGCCCAGAGAAGTTTTCTGACCTTGTTTGGGGTCACTTAATAAAGATAAAATGCCCTCACCATCTCCCAGATTGAGGCAGAGACTGATTAACTCTGTATTCCGAGTGTGGTGCAAGGAATGGGCAAGAGGACTGGGCCACAGTGTATTGTGTGTTTGTGGCATGTTGGTAGAAGATGAAGCCAACAAGCTCTCCCCAGGCTTGCTGGAGACTCAGGTTCCCCTCACCTGAGCACAGTAGGGTACAACTCCGAGGTAAACAGGTAGGTAGTGGTGAAGGCAGCTTCAGAAAAACCTTTCCCTATCACCGCCAGGGTGGTACTCCAGGACACCATCTCTGGAGAAAAAGAGACTCAGGCAGTGAGGCTCCCAGGATGGAAGTGGAATTTCCAGAGAGGGGACGGGCTTCCAAGAATGGGCGGGGTTTCTTGGCCAGGAGGCGGGGCATCCAGGAGTGGGCGGGGCCCCAGTGCGAGGCCTACCAGAGGACAGCAGCAGCCTGGTGCCAAAGGTGAGGGCGCTGCCCAGCAGTGTTCCTGCGATTGTGAGGCGGCGTCCTGCGTGGCGCACCGAAATGTAGACCAGCAGCTTGGAAGGCAGCTCCACGGCCCCAAACAGCAGCTGCGTCTGATACACATTCAGCCCCAGCCCCGAAAAGTCCAGGCTCAGGCCGTAATAGGAGAGGTTCACCGCAAACCTGAGAGGAGTCCGGGTGGCGATGCCACTCAGGGGCCTCTTTCCTACCCACCTTGTCCTCTCAAGGAGCCTTGGCCTTTTAGAGTGACTGCCGCCTCCACCTAGTGGCCAAAGTGCCTTAGACTAATCTTCACGGCAACCCTGTGAGGTAGGAACTAAAGTGTCCATTTTACCGAAGGGGCAACTGTCCAAGGTCTCAACAAGGAAGTGGCAGAGCCTTAATCTGAACCCACTTGTCTCTGATGCGCACTCCACCTGCTGATCTTCCAGAGCCCCATCCTCTCCACCCCTCTGCCTACCAGCCCCACCCCGGCCCCCCACAATTACTGTTCACCGGTCTGGTTTCCCATCACACTCAGCATCATCCTGATGTAGGCCCCTCCCTCCACTCATCCCTGCCCTGCCCGGCCCAGGCCAGCTCCCTCCTCACCACACCACCATGCAGCACAGGGAGATGTGTCGCAGCCGTGGTGTCCGGAACAGGTCTAGGTATGAAGGTCTTCGGACCACCCGCTCTACAGCTGCCACTTTGCTCAGCTCCTGGGGGGGGGGGCGGTGAAAGGAGGAGAATTTGTGACATGGAGTTGACTGTGGCCTTAGCAAGGCACGTTGCTCTCTCTGGGTCTCTATTCCTTCCTCCTGAATTGGTGGGGAGGAATGCACATGGGAGCTAAGTAGGGTAAGCGAAGTCAAGGGTTGAGCCCACCAGAGGACATCATGGCAGAACCTACACTCAAGCAGGGAGCTTTTCCTGCATACACAGTGGGCCCCAGAAAGGGGGTGCTTGACACAGGCCATGTGCACACATGTACTTGCATGCGCTCACACACATTCACCCTCACCTCCAGGCTCAGGCTGTCCTCACCCACAGGCCGCCCGTTGAGCCTGGCGCAGCAGAGCAGGTACCTGTGGGCCTCCTCCAAACGGCCCTGGGTCAGGAGCCAGCGTGCAGACTCAGGCACCCACCTGGGGGACAGTGGGAGGCCCTCCAGTCAGTCAGCACCCTAAGACATGTCTCCCTCCTGGGCACAGCACAGGCCGTCCCCTTAGCCTGGAACATCTTCCTAGCCCTTCTCACCTGATGAACTTTTATTCGTTCTGTAAAGCCAAATTTAAAAGCCATCTTTTCCTACACTTCTTTGCCCATAGTCCAGGGGTTCCTTCTCTATTCAGCTGAATTGGTCTCACCCCCGAGACCTCAGCCCCCAGGAAGAGTCACCACAGGTGGCAGGAGGGCATAGGATGAAGGGAGACAGACATACAGACATACCCAGAGGTTCATCCGAAGCCAGTTCATTTGGAGAAGGCAATGAAATGCCCACCCTGCCTGGTCTTCCACCCTCCTACTTGGGCTTTCTACCTCTGTGCTGGCCTTGTCCCCGTCCCCACCCCGTCCAGGGCGCCAGCCTCAGTTTGTGTTTGGCTCTGTCTCTCACGTGTCCCTCTGAAGCGTTCAGTCCTGGTCTCCGTCACTCCCTCCCTCTCACTGGCTCTGTCTCTCTGTTTCATTCCGTGTTTCTCCGCATCTCACGTATCGGTCTCTGTCTCAGTCACTGACAGTTTCTCACTCTTTTTGTCTCGGCCTCCTTGCCTTTGAATCTCAGCCTCTGATTAATTCTGTCTCCGGCTCTTGTATCTCCCACTCCCCACCTGCCCGCAGGCCTCACCAGAGGCTGAAGATGCCTGGGATACAAGGCAGGGTGACAGTCAGCAGAAGCCATCGCCAGTCCCGAATCAGGTACCCGATCAGTGCCAGCAGCATCACGCCCCCCGTCCAGAAGGTGCTGCTTAGGACCCCTGCCACCGTGCGGTGCTCCGTGTCCAGCCACTCCAGCTCTGGGCCCAGAGCCGGAGACAAGAAGACAGCGAGGACAGATGGGCTCAGTCTCAACCTTGACAACTGCCTCCCTCCATCCCTCTAGGTCCTGCTTGTTCTTTGCCTGCCTCACCCAGTGGCATCACGATGATGGTGAAGCCAGCCAGGGCTGTGCCAGTGAGCGTGCGGATGACTGCAAACATAATGTAGCTGACGGAGGCTGCAGATGCCAGACCCATCGCCAGGGTACTCACATAGGCCACCAGCAGCAGACGGCGCCGCCCAAACCTGCGCCGGGGTCATGCAGGGTTAGCTCCCTGTAGAGGGGAGGTCCCAAGACAGAGGTAGACTAGGCCCCGACCCCAAGTAGTGGGAGAAGTTTCTCCACCCCACTCCCTTATTGCCCACCCGATCTCACCCCACCTGTCCGACAGGTATCCGAAGGCCACAGCCCCCACCAGCACACCAGCGAAGAAGAAGGTGGAAGTGGCTTTGTTCAGGCCTTTCTGCTCACACACCAGGTCCCACTGCAGGGTCAGGCAAGGAGGGGCCTTCCATGGGAACAGGCCCCTCTTCAGCTGGTACCAACCCCCTCTCCAGACCCTGGGACCTTCTGAGTCAACTGTGCCATCCTGGTACCTCCACGTCAGATAGTAAAACCCCAACTGTTCACCTCATCTTGGGGGGTGGGAGACTCTGCCTCTCCCCAACCCTGCAACTACAGCTTCTTCCCGTGGAGGGCCTTGACCATGACAACAGAGGTCCTGTCCTTCCTCAGAGGGATTCTGCCCCCAGCTGCACACATCTCCAGATGGATTATATAAATCCCTGACCTGGGGTCCAAAAGAGGAAGGACGAGAAGGAGGCCTCCGTTGTTCCTCCACCTCTTACTGCAGAGACACCCTTCTCAACTCCAGCTGCAGCTCCCAGGAGCCACCTTAGCCCTTCCCGGTCTTAATCACTTCCCACTAAATAAATAGTGGCTCCCACATATGTGTTCCTTACTACAAGCTTGGTACTTTAAATTCATAAGCCTTACCTACAGATGGGAAAATGGAGATTCTCAGAAGTAAAGTAATGTGTCTAAAGCCCACATAATGATCACCCAGGGCAATGGCAGACCCACCCCACTCACGTGTCCCCCAGCCTCCTGGCTTGGGTACCTCGGTTGCAATGGTGGAGGAGAACTCTGAGTGGTCGTACTCCCAGCCCTGAGGGCACGGCACTGCGGAGGTCTCACCCTGCTGCTCCCTGCGACTCTGCCTTTCACCCCACATTGTAATGTTGGGGAGGGCCTGCGGGTAGGTGAAGCGGAGGCAGGAGCTGAGACTGCCATCGGGCTCCCGGGGAAGGTAGGCTTCCAACCATGTGTCCTGGTGGCTGAAGTTGACAGGGGTGTCAGGCAGGGCACAACGGTGGGCAGGCACAGCAGCCAGGAAGATGGGCAGGAGGAAGTGCATGGGCATCAGTATGCGGGGCAGGGCCAGCAGGACCACATTCCGAAGCTGGAAGGGCCCAAAGCCGCCCACCTGACCCAGCAGCTCCTCAAATCCCATACCAACCACCTACTAACTGTCCCCCAGTGTGCTCTCCCTCTGTAGTATCAGTTCAGCTCACCCTTGGACTCTTGGACTCTGGAGGTGGGAGCAAACAAAGACGGACAGAGAGCCTGCAGCCGCATTCCAACCCTCAGCGGCCGGCCCAGGGCTGGGGCTGGGAGTTTCCCAGCCGCCCTGGTCCCCAGGGATGCCTGCCTGTGTAGCCCGGTGCCTGTGAGGAAAGGGCGGCCATCCATTCAGAGGGCACGGCTCCATGGCTCTGGGACTCACATACTGGTGCTCAGAGAACAAGTGGGGCCGCCTCAGAGGCTGCCGTGGTGGCTAGTGAGGTATGTAGGAGACAAGCCCCTTCCCCCCTCATCAGCAAAGCTCCAAGGGTCTCTAAGAGAAAGAATCTTCCAGGCATGGTGCCAGCTCCCCTTGGATACCCTCTGTCTTACGAAACCCTGGTCAGCAGCCTAGGATTCATTACCAGGTGAAAGGTTCTTACTACTGAGCCAGCAACGAGGACTCTGTACCCTGTTATTTATTTATTTCAAAAGAGAAAGAGAGGGAGAGAATCATCAGTGTGTGAAAGAAACATGGACTGGTTGCCTTTCATACCCCCCCAACTGGGGACCACAACCCAGGCACGTGCCCTGACTGGGAATCAAACCGGCAACCTTTCAGTTTGCAGGCTGATGCCCAGTCCCCTGAGCCACACCAGCCAGGGCTGTACCCTGTCAGATTTATGTCCCCACCTGGAGCTTATGCTTGGGCCTGAGCCACACTGGGCAGCCTAGCTAATCTGGGGATCCCAGACCCGTCCCCCTCCCACTTTGTCACTCAAGGGCTCTTTCCATACACACAGTCCCTCCTGCTGCCCCCACCCTGTTTTCAGGAGCTTCCTAACTTACCCCTGAGGGGGCGGGGAAGGAGAGGGTTTGCCAAGGTGCCTGCAATCCCTAAGACTCAGGGCTGGTCTGATCTCCCCATTCAGTTCGCACTCATGGCCCCGCCACAGCAGAAACCAGCGATGTCAGATTGTTTTATCTGATTTTCCAAACACCAGGTTGTTGGAGCTGGGAGGCTGTCAAATGGTGTTCCAAGGTCTCCAGATTTCTAAGCAAATAAGCTTCAAAGGGGCCCAAGCTTTTTAAAAGTTTAAAATGACTAATTTAATCTAGCCCCCACTTGGAACAGATAAGGAAGTGGGGTGTGTGGCCCGCTGGGGTCACGCAGTGACTCAGCAGCAGAACTGAAGGGACCGGGACCCCTGCCTCTGGCCAGGACTTTGACCTCAGTGGCTGAGCTGGAGATGTTCCAGTTGGTACTAGGCTGGGTTCGCCCAAAGAGCTCCGTGAAAAGAGTTAAATCGGCGCCATGGTGTGTGCTCATGGTGGAGCTAATGGGCAGGAGGGTGAGCGCAGTGATTCGGAGGTGGTGACAGGAGGTGATAATAGATAAGAGATAGTTGCTGAGTCTCTGGTGCACCGTAAGCACTCGGTCAGGTCCAAAGACGCCTCAGAGGCAACCCCTGCCCTCGGTGAGCACACCGTCTAGTCGGAGGGCGGAACAAGTTATATGAACCTTCCTCCGGTCTCATCCCTTTCAACCCACTCTCCACATACCCGCCACAATGAACATTTTAGAACAAGTGCGACCAGGCAGTGTCTGTTTGAAACCCTTCACCAGCCCTGGCTCATGTGTCTCAGTTGGTTGGAGCGTTATCCCACACACAAAAAGGTCACGGTTTCAATCCTTGGTTAGGGCACATACCTAGACTGCGAGTTCGATCCCCTCCCCCGTCAGGGTGCATATGGGGGGCAACCAATGAATGTTTCTCTCTCACATTGATATTTCTCTCCCTCTCCCCCTTCCTCTCTCTCTAAAATCAATAAACAGATTTTGAAAATAGTTTTTAGCCCTGACTGGTGTGGCTCAGTAGTTTGAGTGCTGGCCTGTGACTGAAAAGTCGCTGGTTCAATTCCCAATCAGGGCACATGCCTGGGTTGTGGGCCAGGTCCCCAGTTGGGGGCATGTGAGAGGCGAACAATTGATGTTTCTCTCCCTCTCTTTCCCCCGTCCCCTCTCTCTAAAAACAAATAAATAAAATCTTTTTTAAAGTAATAATTTTAAATGAATGAATGAATGAATGAATGAATAAAACTCTTGACCAGCTCCCGTGCAAGGGTGAGAGTCTAAATCCCTAGCTTGGCCCTCACGACCCCGAAACCTGGCCCCCCCCACCCTGGGTCTGGCCCCCCCACCCTACTCCCTTCCCTCCAGTTCCCCAGACACAGCAGCCTGTTGGCACCTCACACCTCCGTGCAGTCCCTTGAGCAGGCCTCCCTCTCATTCACCTGGTAGATGCCCAAGACGCCTTGGAGACCAGCTCAAGGTGAGACAAGCCCTGTCCACTGGCTCTCACTCACATGTGATTCCCACGTTGATCCTCCTTATTTAATACTATATAATCATATTATTCATATAAAATATAAAACACCACAACACTTTCAGCTCCTGAGAGGTACGTTTTGCAGCCATGATCATTTCCATGGTCCACCCAGTGTCTCCACAGGGGAATCCTCAGGTTTTTCCACAGCTGGAGACAACAGCCAGCGAGGCCAGCCCTGGGCATCTGCTGCATGTCTGTGTTTTCACAACGGGGATTCCTCTCCCACCGTAGGGTGAGAAAGAGCTGCTAGCCATACTGGGGTCCCGCTCCCTCTTTGCACCGGAGCCCATGAGACCCAGATCTATACCTGCAGCCCCTTTGCAAGGGTACATTAACTGTACCCCTGGCTTCATCCTATTCCCCGCCTTCATTCAGCCCGTATGGCAGCTCTCATCTCTGATGTCATCAGGAGTGGTGGTGACAACGACCACGATACGTGGAGGCAGATGATGGAGCTGGACAAGTAAGGTGTGAGATGCCAAGAGTTCGACCAGAGGGTAAATAAGCTCTAAATCACCAATTAAGAATTGGTTTTAATTAAATTTTTAACTATCTCCATCTTCCTCCAACCTGGAAATTGAAACCTGAGCTCAGAGGCCAAGACTGAGGAGGCCTTCATTTACTCCAGACCAGGGGGGAAGGGGCCTTGTGCACTGGGAAAATCCCTTAGTTGGAATTATTACTGGTATTATTACTGTGGGAGGATTTGGGAAAGAAGTTCCTAAGATAAACAATTTCCGATTTGGGATTGTTTTGCAATAGGGACTTCTTATACTTTAGGACTCCTTACTCTTTTCCCCTTCTCTGTCTTAAGTGACCTCAGCTGACCTCCTCATCTCAGCTGGGGTTTCATTGATCACTAATCACTGCTATACCCATGTAATCATTTCCTACATCGGCGGTGGTGGTAATGGTGGAATCAATTGTCGAGGAAAGCGTGGTGATGGATGGTGTAGTAGTGATGGGGTGGGAATACTGGTGGTAGGAGCTGATGCTGACGGGGGTGGCTGGGGTGAGGACGAGAGGTATGGGGCCAGGGCCAGTGGTGATAGTGATGTGGTCATGAGGGTGGCGGTGATGACGAGGATCATACAGATGATACCGATGGGGAGATGATGAAGATGTGTAAGCTCCCTGGCAGCAAGGATCTTGTTAATTACTATGGCATCAGAGCCCAGTGGAGGTGAGGGTGATGGTGATGGTGGTGATGGTGGTGATGATGGAGCCTAGGTTGGGAGACAGGTATCTGTGATTTGAGTGATGAAGGCCAGTAATGGCGGGTAATAGAGTTAGAGGTGGATGACGTTTCACCACTTTGGGTTTAATGGTTCATAGAATAAAAAGGAATGCAGAAGATGCCACCTGGGGCTGATGAAAATGAGCTCATATATTTCCCTCTGACCTGTAGCCAAATTCCCATGACCGTGCGGACTCCCCACCCGCATCGCCTCGTCTCCACGGACAGCGATCAGGCTCCTGCATCCACTGAGGACTTAGAAGGTCGTTCTGACCATCCTTCAATATTGAGTGAGTCTCTTGTCCTGAGTAGCCATCGGGAAAATCTCAGCCGGCTGCAGCATCTGATGATCAGAGAAAGGACACCCTCCGCACTCTCACCTGGGTCTCTTTTCTCCGAGGTGTCCCCAAGGGGCCTTTCCTCCTTATGAACAAAGGCCCCTCCAATGTCCCTGATCTTATAGCCCCCATCCAGCCCCAGACTGAGAAACCTTGCTCAAAACACTCATTTCTCCGCGCCACTGTCCTCAGAGAAATATCTTTCTGGGGGAGGAGGGAAGGCTGAGCCCAACACGTGGAGCATCTGGTAGGCCCTGACTGGGCCCTGACTGGGAAGTGCACGAGCCTGACAGGCCCCAGGCTCCCGGAGGAGCGGGCTGGCAGGGGTTCTCTGCAACCCTACAACACCATTCCCCTGCCCCAGGCCTGCTCCCGTCCCCTTCGACGCCCTCTCTGCTCTCTGATTCATACCTGTGACCACCACACTGACCACAAGCAGTTCTCACACCTTCATACCTTCCTTGCCCATGCTGCTCCCCCTCCAAGAATATCCTGTCCTCTTGATCTGGCTAACTCTTATTTGTCTTTCAAAATTCAGTCTAAGCTGCAATGATCTGAAGGCCTTCCTTGAAGCTCCCAGTCTCTGCCTGGACCTCGTGTATCAGTGCACACAGCAGGGGTAAAGTGATAGTTAACTTACAGCCGCCGCCTCCACAGCCGACTGCGGGCTGTCTCGGCTCCTGACAGTGCCCCACGCCCGGCAGCCTCTGGTGCACGTGGGGCTCAGCAACAGCCTGCAGAACTAGTTGAAGGAAGGACTGACCTAATCCTCAACGAAAGACTGAAGGGATGGAAAATAATGAATGAGGGATCCACAGAATTCTTTTATTCATTCATCCTTAATAATAATAAAATAAAATTTAAAAAGAACAAGATACCATTTTTCAACTATTTGATTATTGTGGGGATTTAACCTAGACTCAGACTTGCAGAAATAAGCAAAGATCAAAGGAAGGATATTAATTTTGGCACTATTTGAAATAGTGAAATGTTGGAGGAAAAATCTAACAAAAAAATCAACATACAGATGGTTAAATAGATTATGGAATATTCGTGCCATTAAAAGGAACATAAGGGTCCTCATACATTATTGGTGGGAATGGAAAATGGTGCAGCCACTGTGAAAAAGTTTGGTAATTCCTCAAAATATTAAACACAGTGTTACCATATGAGCCAGCAATTCTATTTTGGATATTTTCACAGGATATATATCCAAGAGAAATGAAAACATATATTCACACAAACACTTGTAAACAAATGTTCAATGCAGCATTATTCAGAATAGCCACCAGGTCAAAAAAAAAACAAAACAAAATCCATGAAGAATGGATAAACGAAATGTGGTCTACCCACAGGGTGGGATGCTTTCAGCGTGAGAAGGAGGTAAGCACTGATAAATGCTACAATGTGGATGGAAAGGAGGCAATCACAAAGAACCACATATTGTAGGATTCTAGTTACATAAAATGTCCGGAATAAAAATTCTATATAGAGATACATGCCCTGGCTGGTGTAGCTCAGTGGATTGAGCACTGGCCTAGGAACCAGATAATCGCGGTTCAATTCCCAGTCAGGGCACATGCCTGGGTTGCAGGCCAGTTCCCTGCAGGCCAGTTCCCATCAGGGGACGCACAAAAGGCAACCCTACATTGATGTTTCCCTCCCTCTCTCCTTCCCTTCCCCTCTAAAGATAAATAAATAAAATCTTTTTTAAAACCCTCTATATAGAGCTATAAAGTAGTAGATTAATGGTTGCTTAGTACTGGAGAGGTTGGGGGAAATGGGAGTGACCGCTACAGGACATGGAGTTTTTTTGGGGGGTGACAGAAATGTTCTAAAACTGAGGGGGTGATGGACTCACAGCTCTATGAATATACTACCTGATCATATTCACAGAGAGGGGGCTTTTGGGTTCTATTTTACATGCTTTAAGCATTTGTCTTTTTACTGTAAACACGCCCCGCTTTTGGCATTTTGAAACGAGGAGGAAGATGAAAGCATGCGAGCACCCCACTGAGGGCTGGTGGGTCAGGCCCCAGAGCCCCTGGCACCCACGTTGGAGAGAAGGGGGTTCCGGGCCACCACTGCAGGGGAATGGGGGATGTTTGCCGGGGCTCTGGGGTGTTTGAGCTGTGTCTGAATGGTCTTCTCAGAGGGAGGGCGGGACCTCGGCGCCTGCTTGGCACCTGGGCTCCTTTACGTCTGATCCCAGGCAGGGCCAGGAACCTGCCTGGGACCAAATTGTTTACGTATTGCCTGGATGGAAGACCCACACCTTGTGAACCTAGGGCTCACATGCAGAAGGTGCAGCAAGTACCTACACGAAAGTCTTTCCCCAAGATTTCCTCCCAGAAGCAACTCAAGACCCCTCACTTGTCTAAATAGAAGAACCTTATACACAAGTTTCCTTGACTTAGTCTCAGTCCTCGAGACCAGTCCGTGAGTGTCTACAAAGAGCCACCTCCTGCACTGTAGAGCCTCACATTACCCACAGTGGGTTCCCGTCAGACGGCTGACCACACTCTGTTAATCAGCCCCAACAGACAGACATCTAGATTACATCTGAACGTTTGCTTTCACAGGCCCCCGGTCTCTTACCCAAACTGTTGGGATCAGAGTTCTTTTAGAATTTACATTTTACACATGTGTGTGTGTGTGTGTGTGTGTGTGTATGTGTGTATTTAGAAAGGCAATTCAGTGTATATCCCATGCATTATGAAACCCCCCAATTGGATCTAAGACAGCAAACATGTATGATAAGTGCAATTAATAAAGACTGTACACATGGTCTTGTCAGGTTCAGGTAACACATTAGGTTGTGCCAACCTAATGAAAAAACTCCTTGTTTTCAGAACTGTTTGGGCTTCAGAATTGCAGATGTGGTTTTGTGGAGCTACACAAAGAATACCGCACTGAATAATTTTAGACACACGATTTTGTGTTTATAAGTATATACATAGGATACATTTCTAGAACTGCTGGGCCACAGGCTATATTCATTGGTGACTTTCATAGATTTTGCTAGAATAATGACCATCGTTCTTCCTTGTCTGTGAGCTGCTGTGCTTCGTGGTTTTCCAGACACACTCACTTTAATGTTAACTTCTGGGCGGTGAAAATTCTTCCACCCTCCCTCCCTGGCCCTTGAGAGAGGCACCCAGAGGAGCTGAGAGAGCACAAGCTTTGCTCTCAGAGACAGCAGGGCAGCCCCATGCACCTGCGTGACTCTGAGCAAGTTGCCTGCACCCCAGAGCTTCCATGTCCTCTTCCGTAGAGACTCTCTGCCTCTGTGACAGCCCCTCCCCACTTGCCCACCAACCTGTGCTCTTCTCTCCTGCCTGCCCCGGGCCAGCACCTGGACTCTGCCCTCTGCCCCAAAGGAAGAAGACTCCAGGTCAACAGAAAGGTCCACAGGCTTTTAATGGTGTGATGGCTACTTCCCTTCTGAGACCCGATCTAATCATGACAGCGGCTTCCAGGGTGTGTGTGGGGGGGTTGGGGGGCGGACAGGTGCAGGGTGGGCAGAGGCCATGCAGTGACTAGGATGGGGTGGGGGAGTGTGTTACATTCTGTTTGGCATGTAAACATTCTTCAGTGGCTTCTCTGGGAAAGGGGAGGGCAACTCCCTGCCCCAGCCCGGCCCCTGCCCACCAGAGCTGGTCCCTGGAGCTGAGAAGACTGAGCAAGCCAGGCCCCTGTGAGGGGCTGGGAAGGGGGAGCCCATGTGCCTGGGGCACAGCCCCTCTCCTGCACCCCCTTGGTGCACAGTGAGGCAGGGGAGGGAAGGCGTGTCCTGGGGTTAGCAGCCCCGCATCTGAGCCAGTGACTCAGGTTGTCATGATGAGGAAGTGCTGGAGGGGCGCAGTGGTAATGGTGGTGTGACATTCGGGGCTTGGTGGAGGGGCTGGGTGTTCAAGGGACAAGAGGCTGCAGCTGGGGGTGGGGCACTGGGAGATGTGGTTTCCTCTGCCCTTGCTCCTTCCTGGGGAGAGAAGCAGTCCTCTAGCCTCCTCCCCAACCTTGGTGACATTCAATGAGGCAGAGGCCTGAGATCAATTGGGAGCCCTGGGAGGTCTGGTTTCCCAAGGACAGACAGGGTTTTGCAGCTCTGCCCAGCTTCAGTGCCGGGTGAAGCTGGGGGGGTGAGATGGGCCTGGGCTTTCTCAGGTCACCCCCCTTTCCTCCCAACACCAAACCAGGGTGCTGTTGGTCCTGGGGCAGGGGTGAGGCTGGGGGCCCTACATTCACAGTTCGGTTGGTGGCAAGGAGCAGGCCCAGGACCTGGGCACCAGGGGTCATGCCCTGGCCCCACCTGGCAGGAGCTGATTGTCATTCAGAGAAGCTCTAGGTGGGAGGGAGTGGCCCCTTCTCCACCCCCTCTGCTGGACCCAGAGGGCAGTAGAGGCCTTGGGAGGGTCTCGGGTTGACAAGGAGGGCTCTGTCCAGAGAGGTTTCCTGAGTGTTCTGGGAGCTTCTGTGTCAGCATGGGGTCGCCTCAAAGGCTGTCCACCCTGGAGTCCTCCCCTAGGCTGGTCTGCAGAGAAGCCACCACCTTGGCATGGAAACAGCTGCCCAAGCCTGCTGCCTTGATTCTCCATGAGGGGCTTCTGCTGGCACCAGCAGGCCGCACCCTGGGCAACTTCCTCATGGGCATCCTTCTAAGCAATGGTCGCTGGGTACTGCCGGACCACTTGGGCCTGCTGGGGCCTGTCTTTCTCCTCCCATGGTGGTCTTGCCTCGCTCTCCATGACCCAGGGAAGAACAGAGGGGCAGACCAGGGAACACAGGCTGGGGTGCTGAGGATGGAGGCCTGACAGGGACCTGACCCTGATTGGCAGGGCGGGCTGGCCCTTCGGCAGCCACTGTACTTCTTGGCCCAGCCGTGGGCATCTGAGGCTCGTAAGGAGCTGGGATGAGAGTTATGCAGAAGCCTGACCCAGGAGGAGGCCCCTTATCCATTTGTGGAGCTGCACGGTCTTCACCTTCTGCAGGGACAGCTCAGCTGCATGGCTTGGAATTAGAACGAGAGGGGACAAGCTGAAGGATAAACTAGGGGGGAGAGGGCTTGAGCAGGATCCATCACACAAGCATACAATCTGGAAAGTAGAAGGGCCTTTCTGCCCTGAGTCCAGGGGCCAGCTGTCTGTCTGTCTGTCTGTTTCTGCTCTCTCTGCCCACTGGGGTAGATGCTGGTCACAGCCAGGAGAACAGGGAGGGTGACCTGGCCAGAACTGTGTCCCTGAATCTCCAAAGGGCCAGCAAGAGATGATGACCAGCCATTCTCCACTTCCATTGAACTCAGGAGAGGACTGAGTTGGCTGAAACTGCAGTAGGCAAGATTGAGGTTAGATGGCAACAAGGAATTCCTGATGGCGAGGGGTCCTGAGCACTAGATCAGGGGCCAAAGGACAGGCGAAACTTCTTTACAGACCCTCCTCCGATTTCCCACTTGGCCAGGCAGGCAGCCCACACACACTTTATGGTTCCCACTCAGACCCCACCCATATTTAGGAGGAGGAGGGGCTTTGCCCCTCAGAGGTGCAGGGGAGTAACCCCCATCCCCTGCCCACTGCCGCCTTCAGGGTGTCCAGGATGGAGCTGCCTTGGAGCTGGTCATACCCACCCCATCACACCTGAGTAGACCAGTGGCCCTTAGGTCCCACCTCCCCAACCCCAGTCTAGCTACTGAGAAGAGGTCCCTCCCAAGACACTGTGGGGTTGACCCCTAGGGGAGGCTGAAGCCTCCACTTCCAGAATTTGAGGCTGCCTTTCTGAAAAGGGGGTAGGAGGGCTTTGGCTGGAAGAGCATTGGGCGGAGGCAAAGGCTCTAGAGGTGCAAGCAGAGGTGAGTTGGGGGTGGAGCACGGGGAGCAGCAGAGGCCTAGTGAGTGAGCGGGGTGTCCCCATTAGCGGAGTCCTCGGTAAAGAGTGGCTGAGCCTTCCCGGGGCGGAGGGTGAGCCAGCCCCACCTGAAGGGCGGCAGGAAGTGGGAGGTGACTGGGGAAGGAAGGGGAGGCGAGCGCGACCCCTGCGACACGGCGCCCCACCCCCACCCCCACCTGTCGGGCCTGGCAGGCGGAAGGGCGAGGCGGGTGCTGGCGCGCTGTCGCAGATGCAGGCGGGAAGCTGGGGCCGCGGGTGGTGCGCATCGGGCGCGTAAGGCTGTGCTGGGAGCTGTTCCAGTGTGGCCGACTGCAGGTTGGGGGCTGGAGTGAGGGTGGGAGGCCGCGCGGAGCCGTGCGCGTCATTATCTGGCCCCGGCCCGGCCCTCCGCGACACTTGCCCGGCCTTTGGTTGCTGCGCGCTGAGTCTGGAGTTTCCCTCTGGGTCCTTTCTTGGGGCCCCCCAGGGAGGGGGTGCCTTCAGGCTCGGGCCGGGCCTGCGGGGCGCCCCGGGATGGAGGGCCCCCGGGCCGGGCCTGGTGCGACGGAGAAGGGCTCTCTTTTCGAGACAGCGACTGGCTTCGGGGGGACGCGCTGAGATTGCGCGCGGTGGAGGCTGGGAGACCCGGACTGCGAGGGGCTGGAGGCCTGGTGCTGGCTTGGGCTCGCCCCGGGCCATGGCCACGTCCAGGGGTCTGTTTGGGGCGGAGGTCAGCAGCAGTGGCCGACCCTGGGGGCTTCTGCAGCTGGAGCCTGAGGGAGGAGGGGAGGACAGAAGGCAAGAGAAAAGAAGAGGGGGGGAGACATTTTCAGAATCACACAGCAGGACCCTAGAGTCCTGCATCCTCAGACCTGGCTGAGAACATGGCGCAAATGGACAAACTGAGGCCTATTGCTCCATCCTCTAGGGCAGGACCCGTGGGGGCTGCGCACTCCCAGGCTGGTGCGGGGAGAGCTTGCTGCAAGCTTTCTCTGATGTCTGTTTCATTTTTCAAATTCTCGTCGACTTTACATTCTGCTCCATAATGTACCCATGTTTATATTAATACGAATAATGTTTTCTCCCAACTATTCTGGGCTCTGTCCTTCGCTTCAGATGGAGGCCGTGTGTGGGCCCTGCTGTCCACCATCAGCCCTTCCCAAACTGGCCTCCTTGGCACCCCTCCCCTCCAGGCATGCTCACTGTGTCCCCTCCCTTGACCCCAGGGGCAGGCCCGGAGCCTGAGTCAGAAGAGAGACTTAGTCGGGGAGGTGGTGGACCGGAGGTGTGGTTGAGGGTCCCTCCTGAATCTCCTACAGTCCCTGCCCTCTGGGGCAGCCCCTGCCGGTGGAGGCCTTCTGTGGCCACGCTCTGCCCACCGCGGGGCTGCCAGTGTTTCTCACCTGCTGGTGATGGCTGTGTCAGGTGCTGGGGCCGAGCCATGGGGTCTGCCAGGGGGCTGCTGGGCCGGGGCAGGCGCGGGCATGCGGACGCTGATAGGGCGGGGGATCCGGCTCCGGGTGGTAGCTGCCCGCCCTGCCTTCCTGGGCACCGAGGGCTCCGAGGCGGGCGTGTCCTCCTCGGAGCCCGTGCCCGATAGCGTCTCAGAGGCGCGGCACTGCTCCTCGCTGGAGGAGGATGAGGCCCCAGAGGCCAGCCGCAGTAGCAGGCGGCCCTGCCTCTTCTCCATCACCAGCCGGGCCAGGTCCTGCTGCGGTCTTGCCCTCTTGCCCCACCGTTCTTTGGCCGACAGTGAGCCCGAGGGCTCCGAGCCCGTGTCCTCCTCAGACAGCAGGACAGGTATACGGCTCCTGGAGCGAGGGCCCGGCATGGCACGGTGGCTAGGGGTGATGGTGGCCAGTGCGTTGGGGCCTGGTTCCAGCGAGGACGCTGGAGCTGGCCCTTCAGCGAGGGATGGGCCATTGGGCAGTGAGTCCATGGCCATCTCCAAGGGGGTGTCCCCAGGAGGGCCAGACAGGGGACAGCTCTCCAGCCCTGACTGGGCTATCCCATTCTCCAGGGGCACAGCGCTTCCCTCCTCTGCAGCCCTCCCATCAGGGGGCGCCTCCAGGCCCAGCTCACCCCCTGAGCTGAGCTCCTCAGGCCGTGAGGCTTGTCCACCGGAAGACATGACGTTGAGGTGGGTTTTCTCTGCGATGTGCACAAAGGTCCTCTCGACTTTGGTGAAGGGTGAGGAGGTGACTGCCACTCCCCCTGCCCCCGTGATCGCTGCCGTGGCGCCCGGCCCAGTCCCAGGCCCAGGGGGCTTGGGCTCAGACTTGAGCATGGAGGACAGGGTCCCTGGCTCAGACACGTCCAGCTGGCTGCCAGCAGGCTGCGGCCGCTCGTGTTGAGGGGTGAGAGCAGCCAGAGTGCCCAGGTCAGGGTCGGGGGCCAGGTCGGCAGTGACAGGCGACTTCTTCATGTCACCGGGGGAGACGAGCACCAGCGTTTTGGAGCCCTCCTCAGGCTCCAGGTCCCCGTCAGCCATGGAGGCTCGGCCCCTGGACTCCTTCTGATCGTCGGCCAGCAGCGTGGACGGGGCGCCCTCCTGGCTCCGGTCAGTGCTCCTCTCACTCCCTTCACTGCTGGAGCCGCTGTGAGGCCCCAGCACCTCCCCCAGGGCTACCGCCTCCTCTTCCACCTCCTCCTCCTCATTCTCCTCCTCCTCTTCCTCCTCTTCTTCTTCCTCCTCCTCCTCTTCCTCCTCTTCATCTTCATCCTCGCCCTCATCCTCTTCCTCCTTCCCATTAGCTTGGGGCTGAAGAGGAGTCAGTGGGACAGGCGGGGCGGTGAGCAGCATGTGCGAGAAGCCCACCCTCCGGACTCTGTTGAGCAAGCGAGCCCGTTCTCGGTAATCAGAGAGGTCTTTCTTGAAGTCCTGGTAGGGCAGGCTCAGGGGCACAGCTCGAGGGAGACCATTCACCTCAAACGGAGGCGCCACGGAGAACACCTGCAAGGGGCACACACAGGGACCCGCTGAGGTCACCCCCCTTCTGGGCCCAAGAAGACCTGGACTGCACCCAGGAACCAGGCAGGCCCGTATGCCCCAGTGCGTCCAGAGTGTGAGCTCCATGAGGTGGGCACTGGGTCTGTTTTGCTCATTGCTCTATCCCCAGGGCCTAGAATGGAGCTTAGTAAATCGATGAATGAGTATGTCCCTGCTCTGAGTCCCCTGAAGTCCCAGGCCCTGATCCTGGTGGCCTTTCTGTACCTCAGTCTCCCATTTCCCTCATTCCTCTCCTCTCCACGTGCGTCCCAAAACCCAGAGCCACTCTAGTTCAATCAATAGAATAAAATGACCATTGCAAGGCAGACCAACCCTTTCTTTTACATATGAGGAAACTGCCCAGAGAGGTCCCCTTGCTGCCTGCTCACAGGCCACAGTTGCCCTGCAGCCAGGGAGCTGGCTGCCCAAGGCCACCAGAACTGGTGTGGGACAAGGCAAAGTTCAGGCTGGGCCACTGGAGCTCCAGGACCCTTCCCTTCCCTTCTGCCTCTTCCTGGCCTGTCAGCCGGGAATTTTCCAGATCTCTACAGGTGTTTTGAGTCCGCACTTCCTCTGGGAATTCACAGCCAACCTGTGAAGAGTAATTTCTTTTCGTTCAATTAAGTTTTCCCCTTTGAAGCTTTGCAGAGTCCTTGGCAATTTGACAGCCCGTTCTTGGTTTCCTGAGACTCCTGCCACCTCTCCCCTCAGCCTCCTTCCTTCCAGACTAGAAAGGCCTGACCACCTTATCAGGCCACTGCCCTGCCAATCCGCACACATCCCCCAGCACCCACAGCGTATCAGGCCCCATCCAGGATGACGCAGCTTCGCTCCAGGTGTGATGGACTAACAGTGTCCAACACCTGTTAGCCTTTTCGAACACACTGGGCCTCTGTCTTCCTAAACAGCCCATCCAGAAGCCCCAGAGGCATCCTGACACCTCCAACACCTTCGGGCGCCATCTGGACTCAGGGAGTCCTGCCGAGTGTCCTTGACACCTGTGTCTGCTGTCCCAGCCCCATAGGTATGGCCCTGTCTTGCCTGGCAGTTCCCCAGCCACCGGCCTGTTTTCCCCATCCCACACTGCCTCATCCACCCATCCCAGAGCTGCCTAAGAGAATCTTCCTGAAGCTTAAGTCTAATCCCATCTCTCTCTGCTTCAAACCCACAGAAACCTCCCCTGGCCCCCACGGTCCTCAGGAGACGTTCCAATCCTTGGCTTGGTGCAGGAGGAACCTCATTCTCCGGGTGCCCCGCCCCACCCCATGATCTGGCTCCTCCTTCTGCTCCAAACTTCCGTCTAGCAGCCTCCCCTCTCCCTTGCCCCACGCCCCAGCCATTCAGATGCAGCCAGTAGCTCCCTAAATGCCTCGCGCATCTCACACTTCTGGGTCTTTTCCTAGGCAGTTTGCTCGGCCCGGGGATCCTTTTCACCCCCTCCATTCACATGGAAGAACTCCCGTTCACGTGGGTCCCGTTCCTCTTCCGGCACCCAGCTCAAGTAGCTCCTCTTTCAAAAAGCCTCGTCTGTCCACCAAAGGGACCTCATCACCCTCCTTTGTACTTGTTTGCCCACATCCTATGAGAGAAGCTTCCACCCCCTAGTCCACATACAGGCGGTTCTCTCTCCTCGGAAACACTAAGCCCCTTGAGGGTTTTTCATTTCTTCATTCACTCATTCATTCAAGAAGAAGTCCTGAATCTGCGGGTCCAGTGTTAAACAAGACAGACACGGCCCGTGCTTCCATGGAGTGCACACCCTCTGTATTGGGAGCTGAAATGGGGACAAGGCGCACTCCACAAAGGCCGTGGTCATAAATGAGGTCACACGAGGAATGGGCCTGGCAGGTAGCAGTTTCTAAATAAATGTTAGCTCCCTCCCACCCCAAACCTACTCTGGTTTGGAGATCTTGCCTCTCTCCCCGCCCCTCCTCAAAAACACCCAAATACCACACCCATGTGGGATGGGTCGTGGGGAAAGGAGAGGTTCTGCCAGCCGAGGTCTCTGTGCAAACAGCCCAAAGGCCGACGGAGGGGAAGGCAGGGATCCCCAAGGTCAAGGATCTGCCTGAGGCTGGCTGCGACTTCTCCCATCCCCAACGGCCATCTTCCTCAGGATCAAACCACTGGGTGAGGAGTTGATGGACAAGGGTTGGGAGGCAGCGAGTGATGCAAGACAGGGCAGCATCAGACCCCGAACAGGGCTCAGCACACCCCGTCTGCGCCAGGCGGGGGGCTCCCTCAGAGCGCTGTCCCCTTCGTGTCCTGCCTGGGAGCCCCCAGCAATTGTTTCCACCATTTTATTCTTTTATCTGTTACGCAAACATTAGGCATTGTTGCTGTGCCAGGCCTTGCGCTGGGGTCCTAGTTTTAGTCACCAGCATCAAGGCTAGAGAAGATGACCGGGCAGAGGCGGACAGGGGTGCCTCGGGCTCCTGTGTTTGTGGGCTCCATGGGGCAGGTGCCGTCCCTGAGAGCCAGGGCCAGGCACACAGATGGAGAGGTCTGATCAGGCCTCCCGCCTGCCCAGCTCAGGGCTCACCCACCCAGCACCGGACACATCCCGCCTGGCAGGGATACCCTTCACCGCCACCGGGCACCCGTCCTCAGCAGAACCTCTGCCTATTTTCCCTGCTCCGTCTCTGACACTTCGGGCATCCCTGGCAGAACCACCTTTTCCTCTGGCCAGGTCCTAGATCTCTCTAAAAAAGCCCCGTCCCTAGGATGGGCCTGCCTCTCACAGTGCCCGAGGTAGACGGTCGCAGCTGGGACCCTCTCTCCATCTCAAAGCCCCCCACCTTCTGTTACATGGGAGGGAGGGGGAATGAGAGCTGAAACTCAGGCATTGGTGATAATACCAGATGGGAAAACAGGCCTGGAAAGACACTGACGTGCCCAAGTCACGAAGCCCGTCAGCCGGGCTGGACCAGAATTCCTTCTATTGCCGCACTGGCCTCCCACCCTCCCAAGCAGGGAAACCTAGGTCCTCTGTCCTTGAGCGTAGAGGGCTGTGAACCTCACAGTGGGGAGAGCTTTGTCCTGAGGACCCGCCTCCACCTGGGCATGCTGGGTTTTCAGTTTTAAGATCCCTCTGCCCCGCCCAGCTCCATGTGGGCCTCTCCTGGATGCCGGAGCCCAGGGAGCATTCATTCATCCGTCCACCCATTCAATCCAGTGCTCATTCACTCGGCCAGGATCACCAGGCAGCTTCTGTGTGCACAGCCCTGGAGGCTGAGGACACAGTGAGAGGGAGCCAGCAGCGATACCTGCCCCCCATTCCAGCTCAGAAGGAAGCAAGAGTGCTGGGCGTCAGCAGGGAATGGGGGCGTCTGGGGAGCCTCACACCTTCCTCTCCCTTCCCAGGGCAGCGACCTCCCTCGTTGACACCTGTGTTTTATGATTCAATTTTGCTTATTGTGGCCCTCCAACCTGGTTTGGCACAGAATTATTTGGGGTTGCTTCTTAAAAATACAGAGTCCAGCCCTGGCTGGTGTGGCTCAGTGGATTGAGCCCAGACCTGCAAACTAAGGGATCACGGTTCGATTCTCAGTCAGAGCACATGCCTGGGTTGCAGGCCAGTTCCCAGTGGGGGACACACGAGAGGCAACCACACACTGATATTTCTCCCCCTCTCTCCTTCCCTTCCCCTCTAAAGATAGATGGATAAAATCTTTAAAAAAAAATACAGAGTCCTGCGAGATTCTGTAAATCATGGATGAGGCCCAGAAATCTGTCTGTTTAAAGCTTCCTGGTGATTCTATTGGAGTTCGGCAAAAGGGGGGTGTCATGCAGGTGGATCAAGGAAGGAGAGCAGGCAGGGGTTGGAGCTGAGACGCGCAGAGTGCAGGCCCTTGCCCTTGCTCTCGGCCTCGACTGAGTGCACACCAGGGGGCTGTGGCCTCATTAGCATCCGAGCTCAGCCCAAGCCTGCGCTTTCTACAGTCAGCAGGAAAAGTGAAGGGAGACGATGGACCTGACTCCCATCTTCCCCTCCCATCTACGAAGCCGGGCTCTCTTTGGCCTTGACCTCTCCGACGCCGACACTGGGGACGGACCGCCCCACACAGGTGCACGGACCGACTCCCCCGCCTGGACCCGGCCAGGCCCGGACGCCGCGCGCCACGTGTCAGCACCCAGGTCCCAAGGTCGAAGAAGGGGGGCCGCTGGGTGACGAGGCAGGAGAGTGAGCCCTGATGCCCACCCTTCCCTGACTGGGTGGGTGTGGGGAGAGCTCTGTGCCCCTTTCTTTCCTCAGCAGCCGCCAGGTACACACCTCCCATCGCCCCTCTTTCCCAGGGGAAACTACCTCTCGCCTTAATTGCCCAGCCTGAACACTGGAGAGAAGGTGTGAAGCGTAGCCACCTTTGCTCACCGCCGCCTTTCCCAGGTGCCCTACCCGTCTGTCTGTCTGGGCCTCTGCTCCCAAACCGCATCTGCCAATCCAAGAGTCTTACAGTGGTTCCTCCGCCCCACACCCAGGAGTGGCACCCACCCCACACTCGCTGGCCGGTGACAGTCCTCTGGGTGGAAGGGGAGGCGCTGCCCACCCTGCACCTAGACAGATCTTCACGCTCCATCCCCAGGTCTCACTGTCCCCACCCCATCCCTGCCTGCCCCCGGACAAGGAGCGGGCGGCCCGGGGCCATTCGAAGTGCTCTGGAGGTCCAGAAATGCAGCTGGAGCTTGTCCTTTTGCCGCCACCTTCGATTCAGGCCCCAAGGGGAGAGCGGTTTCCTCTTTTGGCACTGCGGCGGCAGGCCCGCAGCGGCGGCGGGGCGGGCACGGGGAGGAGGGGGCGAGCCTGCCCCTGCAGTCGCAGGAGGCTGTGCAGCCCTCTCCTCAGTGTCCCCGCGCTCTCACTGACCTAGTTCTCCCTCAACCCACATGCTGTCCTTGCACCCCCACTCTCCCTGATCCCCCTCAACAGACCCTTCTCCCAGGCCAGAGCTACCTCAGACCCCCCC